CGATCCAGCGCCGAAATCTTTGTTCTGGGCCCAGGCTGTGTACCAGGATTTGAGTACGCGCCGTGGTTGGCTTGTTAAAAAGCCATTGTTCGACTGGCCAGTCAGGTTGAAACGCACTTCAGAATGAAGTCGAGAGCAAGGGTTTCGTCGCTACTTCGCAGAAGCTGTTAGCCGGGGCTAGATTTCCCCTGTCCCAGCCATTGGCCGAAGTGAACAATACGAGTCTCGGTGTAAGGGCGTAAGCATGAGTCATCTTGAAAATAGTACTTAGGGAAGGAGTTGTTATCTCAGCCATAAAAAGCGAAATTAGTCTCAAGCATTCATTAGCAATTTTTGTTTCTCTTTATCCTCGTCACCATACACAAAAGCAAGAGATAAATAAATATTAAACTAGGGAGAAAGTTGAACCGCTACGTGGATCAGTTATTGAGTGCGTGTTCTTTTCATTTTGTAGGCTTGCTTCCGAACTTCCTGATTCGGAACTCAGGAGGACGTTGTGGGTAAGCTTTGTGATTTCTAATTTTTAATACACTGTTTATACTACTACGTGAGAAATTTCTGCAATTTGATTGGCTTAGAGCAGTGTTATTTCAGCTTAATTTGAAATACCTACATGTGAAAATTACAAACCTTTTGTGGGTAGTAGTATAAACAAATAATAGCATTATTTGTACGTGATATTTGGCATAAATACCACTCGTGATATTTCAAAATTGTCTCAAATTTCACTCGCCTAACGGTTCGTGAAATTACGTATAACAATTTGGAAATATCACTCGTGGTATTTATGCCAAATATCACTACAAATCATGCTATTACCTATACTAATTCAGGTCAGTTCGGTTTTACTGACGCAATTAAAATAGGTAGTTTGCTTACTCATGCTCGTACGGCATATATCTCCTGAAGGAGAGGGATCAAGAGGTTAACCATATATTAAGTTCAAGTTAAGTTAACCTGCTGACTACAGCGATTCAAAACATGCGTTTTTTTTTCTGGGTCCTTCCTGCTCCAACCCGACTGTTTTGCAAAATCAAATAGCCGACTAAAAACCCTGCATTGCAATCATTACTATTCCTGTAGAGAAGTATCATTCACTTTTATAGACTTCAGGCAGTTGCGCCTAGCATTATACTTATTCGTTCGCTCGTAACATGCTCGCATCGTGTTCTTTTGCTTACGTCAAGAGGGTAACATGCTTGCATCGTGCTCGTTACATGCTCGCATCACGCTCGTTATATTCTCGCATTGTGCTTGTAACATGCTCGCACTATGCTTGTGACATGCTTACTTCGTGTTCGTAACAGGCTTGCATCGTGCTCGTAATATGCTCGTATCTTGCTCCTGACATGCTCGCATCATGCTTGTAACTTGCTCGCCTAATGCTCGTAATATGATCGCATCATGTTCGTAACATGACTGCATCATGTTCGTAACATGATTGCATCATGCTCGTAACGTGATCGCATCATACTCGTAACAGACTCGGATAATACTCGTAATATGCTCGCATAATGCTTGTTACTGGCATGCTTGCATCATGCTCGTAACATGCTCGCAAAATACTCGTAACATACTCCTCCGCACGACAATTCTGATTGACTGCTGGTCTTCTACACTTTAATTCAGGTTGAACGCTATAAACTTACAGTTATTGGCTCTGTCACTTCAAACTCTGTTTAATTGTCAGTTGATATTCATATTTAGCTCGCGTTAAGATCCATACGCCTATTTACATTTGAAACTTTTCTCTCTTTTGTAGTCACTAGTTGCCTTCGCCAAACTCAAGCGTCAAATTCTTATTTGTCATCCCGAGGCTAAGTCTCCAAAAGATTTTAGCGACAGTTCTTTATTCTGGGTCAATCAAGAGTTTGCTGTCATGTAAGTTTATCGAGGATTCTCCTCTGAGTTTACTTCATAAAGGGGGTACTTGGTCACGCAAACTTCTCTGAGGTCACGTTGTTGTCCGATTAATTTTTGCGTGACATTCAAATGGGGACTCCTAGATGTGTTTGCTTGTTTGTTGAAACCCAAATGAAAATCCTTAAATAACAATGACCGAGACCAGATTTTATGAGCCCGCGAGACTGAGTACCCCATCCAAACCCTTGTTTTCACTAAAACCGCTGGACGCCAACCTGGTTAAGGTAGCCGCTAAGTGGTCTTGTATAGCATGTACCCACATGTACTCTACGTAAGGCTTGCGAGATGCAAACGAGATTTTCCCTTCTTTCCTGAGAAGGTTCCTTTTTTCTTTTCGTTTCTGACCCATGCAGTGTGTGTCTACTAGCAATCGTTCCTCCTACTGCGAAATTTTTTTTTTCTACGGCATTTTTTCGGGCGATCCCGCACCTTTTGAAAGATTGTTTTTGATTAGCTGGGAAAACAATAGGGATTGTCACATAACAATGCCCGGCCTATCCCTGAAAACAATGGAAGTGCAGATTATAGGGGACCAGTGAAATAAGAGGTTTAGAACGGTGCAGGTCTACTGACTTATTCTGTTTAATTTTGTCTCTCTCTTTCAATCAGTAAAAATGGCAAGGTACAGAAACGCGGCAAGGTGAATCTCATTGGACGGCTACAGCTTTCCACAGAGAAAACAAAACAAGAAGAGAATGACGGCATAGTGGCGCTTAGGATTCTCAGGATACAGGTGCGATACTATATTTTTTATCTTGCCTCTTGCAGGTTATCACTCCATTCATTTACAACTTAAGTTTCTTCGGAATTATACATTCGCAATCTTCCATCTAATAGTGTGAATGAGCAGATATTTGTCGAAGAAAAAGAGAGGAGGATTTAGTGTGTAAAACCTTAACTTATTCTTTTGCTTTTATGTACTATTATATTGGGAGTGTACTGTTTAGTTTGAGTATGCTCTTCAAGTCACTGTCAGTAAGGTACCCGGTTTTAAAACAAAATGCCACCCATTTAAAACAGTGAGAACTCATTCAGTCGTTGTGTTTTAGGCCTACTCTGGGACCTTAAGTCGCCGTAATTTTAGGCGATTTAAGGCGACTTTAGGAAAATTTGGTCAAAATGTTGTGCGACTTAAGGCGATTTAAGGCGACTTTAGGCGACTTAAGGAGAAAAATAATAACTACGAGACAATTTGAACCTCTTTAAGATTTTAACGATTTAAAGTGACTTAAGGCGATTTTAGGCGACTTAAGGCGACTTTGGGCGACTTTAGGCGACTTAAGGTCCCAGAGTACGCAAACGGTCAACGGCTTCAGTGAAAATGACCGTTGTAATCTGGTTGGCTCTGTTTTTCAGGAGGCGATTGTTAAGATCATGAAGATGAGAAAGAGAATAACAAATGCTGCCCTTCAAACAGAACTTGTCGAAATTCTTAAAAACATGTTCATCCCACAGAAGAAGATGATAAAAGAACAAATCGAGTGGCTCATAGACCATAAGTATCTCAGACGGGACGAAGAGGATATAAATACGTTCTTGTACGTGGTATAACCACGGATAACGATGCCTTTTGCATTGAAACAAAACGCTCAGTAAAAGGCTCCTTCACACGGCAAAATTAAGCTTCCGAGCTCAGGTTTGTTCATCTTAGCACCACCTAAGCTAACTTGTAGAACTTTTTGCCTATACAAAGTGCAAAGTTTAAACTGCTGTTTCAACAGAGTCGACCTACACCTTGAGCTCCATAGAACACCTAAAGCCGCATTTGAAAACTACTGAAATATTCTTGAAGAACCGAAAGTACTGTTTGCCAATACTGATGAGTATTGCCAAACTCTTTACATTGAGAACTAGTTTTCAACCTTGCATTATAATCTGTTAACTTTGTGTGCTGACTCAGAAATCTGTACCAGGCTTCCCGGTATAATGTGCTTCTTTTCCCAATGCAGCCAACAAATTAAATACGAATCAAAGATGGTAAAACTCGGAGTTCCTAATCCAAAGTACCATGTTTTGTTGAGACATAGTGTAGTGAGTCGTGAAACAATTTTTAAAATAAAATGTTTATTTGTAAGAGTTTTATCGTTTTTTTTGTATTTTTTTTTCTCCATTTCGGTCGCCTATCGATAACTTTACTTTGACTTTTATGAACTTTGCTCTTCATTCCCTCTCTTTCCAAGAGTAGCGCAAACCGAGAAGCAAGCGTTTCTGCGTAAATGTTAAACAAGTTCTGTCGGATCTTCGCAGGGCACCAACCGGACTTTTTCGAAGTTGAGCCTCAACGAAGAGCATCGTAAAAAAGGAGAAGCTTGATAAAAAAAATTTCCTTGAATCCCGTAGAGTAAATGTCAAGTGTATCTTTTCAATTTCTCCATTTTTTCATCAAACATCGAATGAATTAGTTTATAGCTTACGGGAAATCATGTTCCTCAAACAATCCCAATATAGCCGCCTTGCCAGGGCCGCCATACCGGTGGGAAAAATTTTCTGGATTGACCAATCAGATGCTCGCCTGCCAGAGGCGAGGCTTACGAATCGGACGTGATGTATGCGAAGAAACGCGGGCTCATTCTACTATAATTTACATTACCGGGTAGTTATAGCAAGTAGTACCTTTGCCTCAGAGGAAGTGAGGAAATTTCTTATGCCATCGCGAAAGACTGCGCGGAAAAGTATTTTTCGAAGAGTAAGCAGGTGTTCAAATATCAACAATATTGGTTTGTGGATCGTAAATTTAGGCGCTGATCCTTTTCTGTTATTTTTTTTTGCTGCATAATATCCTTGTGTTAAAATTAACTAAACATATATAAAAAATGAATTACACTTTTTCTTGAACATGGATCTCGAGGACCACAGAGGAGAAAATTGGTCGAGTTTGATAAGGTTATGAAAGTTGTTAGTTCTGATTATTTGTTCAGCTGGAAAACGCTGTGTCTTACCGCTTCAGGGTTCATTAGTTTGTACATTCATTTAATGCTGTATTTGCATTTATAATCCATTGTTACTTACAGCTGTAGCTCAGTTTTACAATAATAATTCCTTTGATGGTCTATATCAAAGCAGTTTTAAATCTTGAAATGCAGAATTCTTCTGAAGTCGTGTTAGTTTCATATTCAGCATTCAAATCCAATCCTCCAAACGAATTTAAACTGAACAAAGATGGAGCTGAGGTCTTACGGCTTCCAGATAGCTCTCAAGTCACGATTATTAGCGATAAACAGGAGTTATCCAACACCGATAAGATTAACCTCGTAAAGACAACAAGTGAATTGGATGCTTTACGAAATCAGCTCTTCAACCGACCTCTTTTACTGCTGGTAACTTGCGGCAAACATGTACCACATGGCCAAAGGTAACGGTTATACTACTTTTCTTCTTTTTTTTCTAGTTATATGTTTTCCCCTTAGAAAAGCAAGATTCTCGAGAGAAAAGAGTGAAAGTTTCGACGTATGGTGTTCTAAATAAAACGAAAAAAAAAAAAATCTGTTATCGCGGAAATCACCTGATAAAGAGCCTCTGTATGGGTATTTCGTCGCGCGTTTTCCATCAAATCGTCGGTTTTTCACGCAAAATTGTCGCATATCAAGAATTGTTTTGCGTGGTAACACTACTAGCAAGCTCAGCGCAATCACAACGACGACGGGAATGAAAAAATTAGCAAAACAAAAACTCTGAAAGTGTAGCACTTTTTTTGGTACGTTTCTTTGCCGTCATTGCATGAACTTACGTTGTCAAACTTGATTAAAATGGCAATGCGATCGTCGCTTAGTTAATCTATGAGGTCGTGGCTTCATCAGTGGTGATCTTCGCGACTTCGATTTCGTCGGAAACCGACACCCATACACAGGCTCAATAAACAAAATACGACACCTACATTTTTTTCGGTACAAATGCCTAAATTCTGCGAGGCTGCTTTCCACGTAATAACCATTGGGATAATTCATTAAGCTAAATCATCTCAAAACGTTGAGTTGTTAAACCTAGCTTTTAGGCGCGGATCCATACCGGTTTCTACTGTTTTACGGAAATCGGTCAGATTTTTCATAATAAATATATTTTTAGTAAAAAATGTTTAAACTTTCCAAGTTGATATCTGGAAAATGGTTTGGACAGTCAGTAAATATCCCGTCTGAATGACTCAGAAACCCAGGAAAGGGGACTTTGGGGAGTTAATTAAAATCCAAAAATTTCCCAGGGGAGCATGCCCCCAGACCTCTCTAGAAGTAGGAAATCGGTCAGTATTTATTCTAGATCCCCACCTGGACTTTTACCTCAATCAAAAAACGTTAAAGCTTTAACCAGTACTTTCATAAGCAACAAATACAATCGACAATTAGCGAGCTATTGCATTGAGCCCTCCCCTCTCCAAAAATATTACCACGCGGGGTTGAAACACGTGTTTTTTTTCAAATTTTATCGCTTTATTTCTGTTCATCAGACTAAATAAGAGGGGAGAATATCTAAGTATCCGTGACCCTGAATGGTGGATTCAGTTGAATAGTACCCCCTGGATGAATCCCTATGCTCGGTGGGGAACTGACCACTGTACTTCCCTATACGAGGAGCGTTACATCAGACCGGAGTTTGTGGTCAGTATTGATACTTCTAATCCTGACATAAGACGAATGTTAGAAGATGGACTTAACAAGGCAGAGAACATGCTATATGAAAAAGCAAGTTTTGCTGTTGAGGTAAGTGCCGTCAGAATCGAAGCATTTTTTTTTTTGTTTTCGAACTGATAATATAGGTTTTGGTTATTCATTCAAATTCTGATAGGTTAAATCGGCTAATTCAAAATTTGGAAGATGCGATCAACATACTACACTCAATCCACTGCCATCTTTGTTCTCTCGTCTCTAGGCAAACATACCATCGATCAACCACAAGTAAACTAAACAGCAACGTTCACGACTATCCGAAGACATTGTAACATGAACCGACTAAATGCAGGAATACCCAAATCATATTGCTTGATGGATGTTATCTACCTTTTGAGGAGTATCTGTGAGGAAAAAAAACATCGTTTATATCCTGAAACCATGCCGAGAAATAAGCCAAAGGTTTGAAGGAAGTCTACGACAAGAAAAGCTTCCTACGATTTTGAATGAACGATGAAACAACTATTAAATTCGAATTTCTTATGATGTGAAGAATTATTCCGTTAATAACAATCCCCTCTATCTGCGTAATTTTTCACATCATACTAAGCCTCACCCGACAATTGTTAAAAAAGTATATTAGTAGACTCGAACACAGACTCGTACTGGTCTAAGAAAAGGGGTCCCGGAGATAGGTAACCTGATCATCAACGCAGATAAAATTTCCTCGACTACTCCCTACTAATCTGCTTATTTTGCAAACAGTTTGACTTCAATCCCATGATTCTCCGCTGGTGGAAGACTCAAGGCATCAGACGCTATGATTCACTGGAATGTCTTGAAATGACAGCAGCTGTTGGAGCAAACTTCGTGGTAACTNTGTTGCCCCCCTCGTGCAAATTTTCTGGAATTTGCACTGATTTCTGTCACTTCCAGGAAGTTATTTGAAGCCCATGGTTAAGAGGTGAGGGTGGTTAGTCTTGAAGAGCGAGACTGTTATTTTTACACTAAAAGTATCAGGGCTTTAAGCAAATTAAGTTTTGAAAGATTGCCTGCAATGTGCTGGACTAAGATTTCAGGCAACCCGGTTTTCAAAACTCCAGGTAGATATATTTTTAGTAAAAAACTTTAAACTTTCCAAGTTGATATCTGGAAAATGGTTTGGACAGTCAGTAAATATCCCGTCTGAATGACTCAGAAACCCAGGAAAGGGGACTTTGGGGAGTTAAAATCCAAAAATTTCCCAGGGGAGCATGCCCCCAGACCTCTCTAGAAGTAGGAAATCGGTCAGTATTTATTCTAGATCCCCTCCTGGACTTTTACCTCAACCAAAAAACGTTAAAGCTTTAACCAGTACTTTCAGCAACAAATGCAATCGACAATTAGCAAGCTATTGCATTGAGCCCTCCCCTCTCCAAAAATATTACCACACGGGGTTGAAACACGTGTTTTTTTTCAAATTTTATCGCTTTATTTCTGTTCATCAGACTAAATAAGAGGGGAGAATATCTAAGTATCCGTGACCCTGAATGGTGGATTCAGTCGAATAGTACCCCCTGGATGAATCCCTATGCCCGGTGGGGAACTGAACACTGTACTTCCCTATACGAGGAGCGTTACATCAGACCGGAGTTTGTGGTCAGTGTTGATACTTCTATTCCTGACATAAGGCGAATGTTAGAAGATGGACTTAACAAGGCAGAGAACATGCTATATGAAAAAGCAAGTTTTGCTGTTGAGGTAAGTGCCGTCAGAATCGAAGCATTTTTTTTGTTTTCGAACTGATAAATATCCAAAACCAATAAGTAAGTTTAAGACTATCCAATTTAGCCGATTAAGTTTTAAACCTTCTACGCTAGTTGTATGATGTGAGTTAGGTGACGGTAGAAACAAGACTCGTCTCTAGGCAAACATACCATTGATCAACCCCAAGTAAACTAAAGAGCAACGTTCACGACTATCCGAAGACATTGTAACATGAACCGACTAAATGCGGGAATACCCAAATCATATTGCTTGAGGGATGTTATCTACCTTTTGAGGAGTATCTGTAAGGAAAAAAAACATCGTTTATATCCTGAAACCATGCCGAGAAATAAGCCAAAGGGTTTGAAGGAAGTCTACGACAAGAAAAGCTTCCTACGATTTTGAATGAACGATGAAACAACCATTAAATTCGAATATCTTATGATGTGAAGAATAATTCCGTTAATAACAATCCCCTCTATCTGCGTAATTTTTCACATCATACTAAGCCTCACCCAATAATTGTTAAAAAAGTATATTTATTAATAGACTCGAACACGGACTCGTACCGGTCTAAGAAAAGGGGTCCCGGAGATAGGTAACCTGATCATCAACGCAGATTAAATTTCCTCGACTACTCTCTACTAATCTGCTTATTTTGCAAATAGTTTGACTTCAATCCCATGATTCTCCGCTGGTGGAAGACTCAAGGCATCAGACGCTATGATTCAATGGAATGTCTTGAAATGACAGCAGCTGTTGGAGCGAACTTCGTGGTAACTAACTGTTCAGCTGTCAATCATTTTTTTGACTGTCACCCTGCTTGGTGTGCCTGCTGGCCTTGTTACCTTTTGATTGCAGTCCCCTACAAAATGTGGCGGAACGCCTTTCAAGGAATTCGTGACATTTCGATCACCATGGAGGGTAACGCAATCTCCGCGAATCCAGGTTCTTCAAGCTACAGCTTGGTCGATCTTCACCGTTCTCCCGTGCGTGACACCCAGCCAGCTGGAGATGCGCAGGGAATGGTACCTGGTTTAATACCTGTGGCTCATGGGATTCCTCAGCATACATTTTTCCCTCTTCATTCCTTGCAAGGGTCGCTGGGTAATCCTCGCTTCAAGTTTAACTAGATGACAACGATAAATGGATTGAATGACTATTTCAACTGCACCGTTAAACCTCTGTATGGGAACTTGGGCATGCCGCTTTCGGACCTTTCGTCGAGATCGAAATCATCGAATGCATATCACGAATTGTTTTGTGTGGAAGCGCTACTTGGAAGCTGAAGGAAAACGTCAAAAACGACAGGCCACGTTCACATGACTCCGAGGCTTTAGGGCCAAAATTGCAAAATTTTCACGACCCCATTGTCTCGCATTTTCCAGAAGAGGCTTGAGGACGAAGAAAACCAAACGAAATATAGAAAAATGACCAGAAAGCCTCGGGGTCATGTTAGCATTTTTGGTCTATCGAACGTGGGCTATATAGGTTTTTAAACCTCTTGCCCACGTTTTGAATTTTTGTTTTGTTAAGTAAAATAAGCAGAACAATAACTCTGTAACTGCACCTGCAACATACTTTTTGATAAATTTCATTGCTTTTCAATCTTTCATCTACAGCGATCGTCACAACTTTGATTTCCTCGGATACTCAAACAGAGGCTCACTGTTTATCACGACTTAGTTGTATGTTCGTAGCGTAGCCGAGTTGTTATCGTTAAACGTCCATGCTTAAATAATCCTTTTTTAGTTCCTTTGTGTTAAGTTTTTTGTTCGGAACGGCCCAATTAATGTCAACATAGTTAGAATTAGAATTATTAACGTAAGTTGGGGCAATTGGGAAAAACAGCTTTCATTCCGCGCATGTCATTTACGGACAAACCAGCCAACAAGATCGATTAAAAAAGTTTAATGTACAAGTTTGATGTTCAAAAGAACTTTTTTTATAAAACCACTTTTCGTAATTAACCTTTTACAAATAATTTGTTGCTATAATAATAAAAACAACATTTAAATCATACTTTTTGATTTTCAATATATTCTACTATCGTTTATAACAGTTTCATTCCTGTGTAATGTGCGCAATGTTGTGCGCGTAATTGTTCTGTAAGTTATATCCCGACGGGGGATATTTAGCAAAAGAGAAAACTCTCTTTTTTGAGGATTAAAATGGACTAAACCTTCCCAACTACTTTTGTCTGTGATTGTAGAGCTTGCATACATATTTCTGATTGACCAGTCTCGTTTATACAGTTCATAATCAGCCATGTACACCTATTCTGAAGCCTTTGAAACCTGTAGTAAAAATTCTGTTATATGACTTACACCAAGAGAGGATAAAGGGGACAGAGAAGGCATCCCCCATACACACCCTATTCCATAGGTAATTCGTCTCGAGTTATTTTTAAGACCACAGGTCCCAAGGGGGATTAGACAACAGCCAATCACATAGCGCGAATGTGTTCCGCGTGGATGACCCACGCTCAGAGCCACGCATCCTTCACGAATTGACGCAGAACAAAATGGCGGAAAACGCGGAGAGCGATATTGCTATTCGTTTTGTCGACGAAAACGACTACAGAGAGATTTCTGCTACCCGCGATATAACTTGGCAGGAAAATCTAATTCGACGTTTTCCAGCCAAATAAATCGCTTCGATGGAATTATTAATAGATAACTGACACATTACAGACCATTAACAAAGCAATCAATGCGGGAAACATTTCAGAGCCAAAGTCAAATCACTCAGTAGTAACGCATAGATCTCATCCATGCATGTCGTTGCGTTGAAACTCCCTTTCTCCTCTTCCCATCTTCAATGCACACCCCTAAGTTTCCTTTCACTTTGATAACCTGCCCAGTTACTGCAGCTGCTTATAGAAAGACGTAATGTTCTTCACCGAGGAAGAAAATGTAGAAAATGGTGTTCTGTTGGATTGTCTTGTGACGGGCCAACAGCACTGGGGTCGTGATTGAAAGTGGCCCAACCTAGGGGGATCTGGAAATGCCATTTCCAGCGTTTTTCGCAGGACATATGGGTAAATTAATACGCAGGAAAAGCAACTAATTGTGTATTTTACCCACGGCTAGTGCTGCGGTAAGGTACAGTGTTAAAGGGAAAAAAGGCCATTGATGCCATCAGAATTATGGAATAATAAAAGGATAAAGGAAATACCAACACAAATACACCAACATTGCCAATATAGTGCAACAATGTATCCCGACATTACTGACGAAAAAAAGGATTTTTCAGGAAATAGGACATATAATTCTTCCATATTTCAGCCGTGTATGTACACACGGGCGTATGTGCGTATAGAGACGCTACGCTCCTGTGAAAGGATAGGGAAAACTGTCGTTTCGATTGGTAAAAAAGCCCATAAAGTAGCCTGTGAACAGGCCTTTGGTCGAGCGGGTCACTATAAAGACTTGACAGAAACCGGAAACCGCGCTAGAAAAGTCTCTGGTACACAGGGTATCTCTTGTGCGGGGAATTGGCAAAACCCGCTTCCCCTTACAGGACCAGCTCACAGTCATACAGTAGATACCAAGCATAAAACGATGAAGAGCGTAAACCGTTTTGTGTGACTGGTCCCCCTGCGCCAAATAATCCCACAAAGTTAGAACAAAAAAAAATGTAAATATGTGCGACTAAATAAGCTTATCCCACTTAGTCTCCCACCTTGCATGACACGAAACACAAAAATCTGACTCAGACTTCAGTTTCGTTGACTCCGGTAGTAATTCAATTTCGCCTTGTTGACTTGTTCTCTTTAGGAGCAAGACCTTCATTCAAATTCAGGAGGACAAGTCGGCTTTGAAACTTTTTGATCAGCAAGCTGTCCAACCGAACAGATCAAATGACACTTTTTTCTAAATCTACATAGGATTGGGTACACTGTTTTTCTGATTTTATGCTTAATGAAACTTACATAAATTCATGAAGATTCTAATATTTCTGTAGAGGAAAGAAGAATTATAAAATCGGTGCTGCGCTTGTGACGTGACACAGAGTACCATTTTCATGCACGGCAAGGAAAAATATGTTTCTGCCTATCATAAGCAGCTGCAGTAATTTGGCAGGGTGTCAGTGTGAAAGGAAACTTTGTAGATATGCACTGAAGATGAGGGAAGGGATTTGAACGCGACGACATGGTGGATGAGACCTAAACGAACCGTGACTTGTGTGTGATTTGACTTTGGCTCTGAAATGTTTCTCGCATTGATTGCTTTCTTAATGGTCTGTAATGTGTCAGTTATCTATTAATAATCCCATCGAAGCGATTTACTATACTGGAAAACGTCGAATTAGATTTTCCTGCCAAGTTATATCGCGGGTAGTAATTTGCATAAATTAGCAGCCAACCACATGATGCCTGGTTTTGTAAACCAAAAATCATTAATGTGCTCGATAACTGACTGTAAAACGTAAAGGAATGCAATCTATAGGGACCATCCAACGTTCTTGCTTAACATCCCCCCAAAGACATGATTTAAAAGAAAGATAGCGGCGAACAAAACTTGCGAAAATTTACTATTTTGTCTCAGGTACACATTTTCTTTTGATTGGTATGCAAAAATGCATGGAGTGCCCGCGGATTTTTAAGCATGAAATGGTTCACAAAGGTTGCTATTTACATCCTGTTTCAGTTTTGATCTAAATCGGAGTTCTAGTAAGAAGAAAAGCAGTTCAAAAATGTCTATTTTTAAGCCTTGTCAAAAAACGTTTTCCCCCTGTAAATGACAATGAACAGAGGCAGTCAGGGGGACCCAAAGAAAAGTTGATAACATCTTTATTGAGAGGAAGGATCATATTTTGCTATCATGTGAACAGATTTTCAACTGTTGGTCTGCTTTTTGAAATATTTACCTAACAAAACTCCGATTTTCAGGGAGAAAATTGTCCTAAAGAATGCAATTTTTGGCCCAAACTCCCCCCCCCCCGCCCGCCTCTGATGCCCAGTGCAGGTTTTTGTTAGCAGTCAAACAAATATCACAGTGAGTAGTTTCATCAGAAGTCACGGAGAACTACACACAAAGCATGAAGGGAGATTTTGTTTGACCATTTCCAATTTTGCTCGATCCTTAGCGGCATCGGAATTCGTTCTTAAAGTTTTAAGCGGTTATTTTTGTTTCTGTAAATTTGACAGGCATTTTGTAATTTCCTTCTTTGGCTGAATTTCGTGACACAGCTCCTTTAAATTGTTAAAACAACTAGATTCGTGAACGTCACGAAGCTGTGCGTGGGACTTCGCCCAGCTGTAAACATTGGTAAAATTAAGGACATATGATTATTGGCCCCCGGCGCTGGGATTTCGCCCAAAAGGCGAAATCCCGAGGAGGCACTCTAGTAACTCGCGCGTATATTAAGGAAAGTACTTACAGTTGAAATATACAGTCATACAGTCAGTATAGAAAAAATCTCCATTTGCTTGAACAGGGGCCGCGAGGAATTGGTAGGTAATGATGACGTTCCTATTGTTTGCGCCCGCAATTACGAAATGGTTAGGATGATGTAAAGACAGAACATCCCCAAGGAACTGCTCAGGTAGATTTTGTGACATTTATTGTGCAGTTATACTTCGACACTCTTTTGCGTTACGTGTTATCAGTAACATTCTGTGGAGCAGTTGTTTCAGTGAAAGTTATGGACCAAAATTTTAACGACACGCGTTAAGCGCAGAAGAAGTTATAAGGTGCGTATAACTGTGTATATTTAAACACTTGGGGAGTTTGCCAGACACGAGTTCACAAATCTTTCATTGAAAATCTTGCCAGACACTCTTTCTCTCTCTTTGACCGGAATATAGCCTGCGTAGCTGGCGGTATTGTGTGGGTGCGAGATTAAAGTTTTGGCGGCGGAGCCGTGTTCCAAAAAAAGGGAGTAGGGACGAGGCGGTTGAAATACCGGTATTTCTTGCGGCTTCGCCGCTCGTGACGGCTCCGCCGTCAAATCCCACTCGACTATATTACAACGGCTCCGCCGCCAAATCTCACTCGACTACTACACAATACCGCCAGCTACGCAGGCTAACCGGAATAAGACTCAGCCCCAAACAAGCAAAACGAGTGAACAACGGCTAGCCTCTCACTAGCAGAACGATGGACGATTACAGAAATTCGCCGACAATCAAATTCTGTGCTGCCTTTCCCCTGCTCACAGATGTCCTTCCGCTATAAAGTTTAAAATAAGACTAGAATGCGCGATCAAGCGTCCTTTTAATTTCTAAGGCTTCCTTTCCGGCAAATAAAATGAATTGAATGTAAAAAGTGAACGAAAAATAGCGAAAAATCCAACTTCTAATGAAATCTTTTCTTATGGTTTAGAATAAACTATTCTCGAAACTGACAATGTCGAAAATGTTTTGATCAAAGCTGTGTAATTCGACCTCAAACTGTGCATGGAACCTTGCGTTTCCTATATTTATCTCAATATGTGTGAAAATCTTTATTATGAATCGGTATATTTCAAAGAGCTACACAACGAGCAAGAATGCTATTGACCGACAATATACAGAGCAGGAACAGCTGTAGAGTCAACTATTACTAGTCTATCACTCTAACCGGAGATCACGCTCAATTTTCGTTTCGCTTTGTAAACTACATTCCGGCGGTAGCCGTTAGAGAGAATGTATGAGAACCGCTAAAATTAGGCGTGATCTCAGGTTACTATCACTCAACCCTCTTGGGAACAACGAATCTTCGAGAAGATCTAAAAATAACTTTAGAGAGATTGCGATGGGTATAGGGCCTATGTGATATATGGGGGATTAATTCTCTGAGCTTTATCCTCTTTTGAGTTGTCGTGATACTGATGTAGGCCCAAAAATAATTTTAGCCAAAAAATTAAGGTTTTGAAAAGACGCTCTACGAAGATTGCTTTTCCGACATCGCGTAGATCGAAAATAAGAGTTCTTCTCACACGTCATTGAACTGTAATTATTGCAATTTTGCTCTTAGGACGAGGGTCTTAGTTTCATCTCAGAAAATTTTAATGACAGAAATTTATTCTTGAAATAAAGCCACGTGACACCTTTGACATCAACTTTCTCTCCTAGGTATTTTCCGTTTAGATTGGAGTGATGACAGTTGCCGTACCACCACGCACCTCCACTCCACAAAGAACTTACAGTCACCACCTTTCCAATCTCTGTCTTTTGTGGAAAACGCTATGTTCTTATGTAATGCTAACGAATCTCCCGCCGTCCCTAAATATGAACCCACTTCAATCGATACTGCACCTGCTCATCCCCAATCTTGAACTTGCCATATTGCCATAAATGTTAGTCTCTTTAAGATGACGGCCTCAGTTTCATTTCAGCGAATTTTAGTGAAAGGTTATCTCTAAAATAATACCAGCGAACTCCTTGGGGGTTACCTTGTTTGCCCAGATATCTTCCATTGAGATTGGAGTTCTGGCATCTGTTGTACCACCAGGCACCAGTACTAAGCACAGCACAGTTACTTCCGTAATTGTCATTATCTCTATCTTTTGTGCTAAACGCCATGTTATTGTGATGACCTGTTAACGAATCTGCCGCAGTCCCTGAATATGAACCCACTTTGAGTCGATACTTCGCCTGCTCATCACCAATGTTAAACTTGCCATATTTGGCATACACTCTTACTCCGTTCCAGTCCTCTAGTTCTACTCGTAAAGAACTGGGTCTAGCAGCCGTCAGCCTGTGGATCCTGTCGTTTCCTAACCAGAACTCAGCCGTCAGCTGACCAAAGCCTGATTTGTAATCGTTCCATCCGCGATAGAAGTCTACCGAGCCATCTTGTCTTCTCTGGAACACCGTCCATCCTCCACCATCAGTGCGCATGTCACAATATACATTGAAGGATCCTTGACCGTCTGGGTTTACAGAGTACACTCCACTCTGAGTATGACCTGATTTTAACAGCGATAAACAATCTCGATCTGAAAGCATGAATACACGTTCTATAAGCTACAGCGTTTTCACCGGAAAAGGCACCGTCGGTAGTAATTTATGAACCCTTCTAATGGAGAGAATGAAGCTTTCAAAGCTGAGTCTAGCGGGAGCCGATTATTGGATGGGACTCACTGTGAGTCGTTTTGTTTATAAAGAAAAAGAACAATAACGAAGACGGATATTTTTAATCATACATGAATATGTAAATATCAGGGTGTGGTGAATTTTCATAATCATTACTTATTGAGGCGTGTTGCAGAATTGTTTAGCATCGTTCAAAAAAAGCTTTTATTTTTTTTAGCAGTATAAAAGCCCCACCCTCGATTAAGTACGGCGCATAAAAAGAAAAAAGAGATACAGAATCAGGCATTTTTTTTTTCAAAATTCTTTTCGAATGTCTGTAGCTACATTTATAACGGCGGTGCCTATTTTCTAGCTTTCCACATGAGGCATCTGGAACGTCATCGCGTAGGTTAAAAGCTAAATTTTGATTAAGAGCTCCACTTTGCTAGCTTCTATCCCGCACGAACTTATGGAATGTTTCCATAAAAGGCGCTACAATGCCTTAAACTCAATACAAATATAACAATAGTCGAAAAACCTGACCTTGTTTCCCGTTGCACTGCAAATCAACACTATCGTCTCGAATTTTAAAAAGACGATATGATCGTTGCAGTGGTAATTGCAATTTAAGCAATTGCAAATAAACCGGAAAAAATTTTCGTCTCAGGAAAACATCGAAACGTCGCGATCAATAAAGAAAGTGACTAATTAGTCTAGCTTGCTTTAGCTGCGAGACTCAGAAAATGAGAGCCTTTTTGTTGCTGTTGTTTTTTTGTTTGGCGTGCCCGTGCCAAAAGGGGATTGATGGTCCCAGGTGTTCCTAGCGGAGACCGTGGAAACTGGGTATAAGAATCGCGACGTGTCATAGCACCATGCTTTATTTTGTGATGAGAGCTTAGGAAAGATTGATGTGAAAGGTGGAGAGCTTTTCCGGAACGGGTCGGTCCACGAATTCTATCGCTTGAAAGCGTTGATAACTTTGGAGCAAATGAATACTTAAGTGAAAATTTCTTTGATGAGGCTATAAACTGGTCGGGTGTTGTAAACTTTAATTGTATGCAAGTGGTTCTTGTGATAAGCACGCGGTTTATTTTCGTTGATTATGACGCGCCATGTTCATCACGTTTTTGGTCTCTGGCGATGATGTAATTTCTCTCCAATTAATTTTCGTGTATTTATACGCCCGTTCTCAATCATCGTAGAATACGATATGAAAAGTAAATAACCTGAAGAATACTCGACCGTCAATAAAGTAGGAAGTGAAAAACTTGTAGCGAGGAAATCATTTTTCGTGTAGGATTAGTCGCCTCTTCATTTCTTATCTACCGGTAATCTACATGCAAGCGAGACTCGCGGCTTTTTTAACAGCGTTCTTGTTGTTAGACAAAAGGTCATACACGTACCAAGAACAATAAAATCTTAATTATATTGACCACAAATATTTGAGCACAATACTAAAGCTGATTCTTCGACATGAGAGATGTTCAATAAGCTTGCACGCCTTGTAAACTATCTCACCTTTCTTATCATTTGTTAAGAACCGCATCGTTCTTTTAGAGACCTTCAGATCCGGCCTCCAACACCAGAGACAGCGCTCATTGAGTACCAGAACAAGCCTCCGTTTTAGTTGATGGAAAAAGAATACACTTGACTCAGGGGGCTAAGTGAGAGGCAAAAACTGCTGAAAAGCTTCAACAAAATAGAGAGAATAACAATGCTCCTGTACATAGAAAGGCTTCTGATATACCCGAACAGCTTTCAGTTGTAATCAAAGCGAGCCTTTTTAATTAACACCAAAGACCGGCAACAGCAAAAATTTCATAAACGTTTGCGAGAGGAGCAGATGTTGCCTATTACTTGAGGCCGGGTAAAACTTTCTAGATGACCGTTCCATTCATGTTCAATTTTCAAAGCTTATCTAATAAATTTTCTAAAGTTTTTTTTTTTTTACATTTCACTGCCTTCAAGTAGGTAAGGTTGTTTTTCTTAGCAAAAAGGAAACCACGATGGAGAGAGCAATCAGAAAAATTATCACTTTCTTAATGCGTTAAATTGCGTTAAATTTTGAAGAAAATAACACTGAAGCCTCTGTAACTTCGAAAAGACTCAAGTTTCCATATGATGAACGAACAGATACAAGTTTTATAGCGCCGCTTAGAATGCATTTCTAGAGATCTGAGGGGCACCCAACGTCAATTTTCGGAAAATATCTGTTCGGAAGTCGATTTGAGATCTAGAATTTTCGGAACATTTGTTGTAAAATTTCTTGCTTGCCTGCCTCTCCTAGGATTTTCGAACATTTTAAAAATGGTATAATTGCCCATTTTTAACGGATTTTTACCCTAAAAAGGTCACCTAGAATTTTCAGCTAGGAAATGCGAACAGATGAAAAATTTTAAGGGGATAAAACTATGGCTATATCTACCATTTAAATACTAAAATACGTTTAACAATGCTATTTTTATGTAGTTTTGAACTATGTTCTCGTTGGGTGCCCCCGAGATCTAACAGTACTGACTCTGGATAGCCCGAAAAGTGTTTTCAATTTAGTAGGAAACCGTCGTTGGGTACCCCTGTAAGATCCTCAGGCAACACGGAGGTTTCACTGTTACAAAAATGTTCGCCCAAAAAAAAATGTTCGAGACGATGGTATATGGCCACTGATATTTTTTCGTGACCTCGTTTCAAGGCAGCGGCGCACTGGAACTCAAACAGAAGATGGCTAAAGAGTTTACGGATGTCCGAAGACGAAATAGCTCAATTAGTGACTAAAACTGAACAGAGTTAAAGCAAAAATACGCAGAAAAAAATGTTTGACGGTTGTTATCTTCTTTTTCAGCTTTTTGAGGAGTATCTTGCGTATTCTGAAACTGCGAGTTTGAGAGAAAGGTAACTGTTTTGAAGAAAGTTTACGAGGATGTAAGTTTGTCAAGAGCTTAGAAATAGTTAGACATTTTGAATGAATAATGAATCAGTTATTGAATTGGGCTTTCGTATGATATGAAAAATTATGCAGGTTCTCAGAAATAGAGAAATGTTNTCTGAGGGGCACCCAACGTCAATTTTCGGAAAATATCTGTTCGGAAGTCGATTTGAGATCTAGAATTTTCGGAACATTTGTTGTAAAATTTCTTGCTTGCCTGCCTCTCCTAGGATTTTCGAACATTTTAAAAATGGTATAATTGCCCATTTTTAACGGATTTTTACCCTAAAAAGGTCACCTAGAATTTTCAGCTAGGAAATGCGAACAGATGAAAAATTTTAAGGGGATAAAACTATGGCTATATCTACCATTTAAATACTAAAATACGTTTAACAATGCTATTTTTATGTAGTTTTGAACTATGTTCTCGTTGGGTGCCCCCGAGATCTAACAGTACTGACTCTGGATAGCCCGAAAAGTGTTTTCAATTTAGTAGGAAACCGTCGTTGGGTACCCCTGTAAGATCCTCAGGCAACACGGAGGTTTCACTGTTACAAAAATGTTCGCCCAAAAAAAAATGTTCGAGACGATGGTATATGGCCACTGATATTTTTTCGTGACCTCGTTTCAAGGCAGCGGCGCACTGGAACTCAAACAGAAGATGGCTAAAGAGTTTACGGATGTCCGAAGACGAAATAGCTCAATTAGTGACTAAAACTGAACAGAGTTAAAGCAAAAATACGCAGAAAAAAATGTTTGACGGTTGTTATCTTCTTTTTCAGCTTTTTGAGGAGTATCTTGCGTATTCTGAAACTGCGAGTTTGAGAGAAAGGTAACTGTTTTGAAGAAAGTTTACGAGGATGTAAGTTTGTCAAGAGCTTAGAAATAGTTAGACATTTTGAATGAATAATGAATCAGTTATTGAATTGGGCTTTCGTATGATATGAAAAATTATGCAGGTTCTCAGAAATAGAGAAATGTTTTATAGGAATAATAATTTTAAAAAGTCTTTAAAAAAACACTGTCTGGCAATTTGCCCTTCTATCCTCCTTTGTGAGGATGGAACCGCCCATAAATCAATTTAAGCTGTTTTAGTTTTTCCCTCCATATAAAAAGGAAGAAACTATACGTACAATTCTTGACACAATCAAAGCCGTCCCCAAGGAGGCCTTTGTTGCAAGTGCAGTTGAATGACCCTCGATAATTTGTGCAGCTGGCGGCCTGATGACAGTAATAGTTGTCCCTGCTGCACTCATTGAAATCTGTTAAAAAAAAAAAAGAAAAGAAGAAGACTACTTCTTAGACAAAAATTAAACAAAGTACAATGCACATGTTGTTTCAGAGATCAATTCGATTAATTTATTATTGTCCATGATTTTCACAATGCCCATTACACACCTTGTTTACCTCCCTCCCCCCAAAAAAATGTTTGTAAAAGTTTTGTCGTTATAATACCTGAGAAATTGGAAAATATCGTTATGCAAAGTTTTCAAGGTAAACAGCGTGTTTTATAGGTAATGTGAAAATCATCAGAACATTTAATTCATTTATTCATTCACCCAGCCACCCACACATGACAAAATGGACCTTGAACCAAAATGCACCATTTGTTTAATTTTTCATATCCTACCTTTCTTGCAAGTATACTGATGACAGTCACTGCATTTAACGTCATTCCATTTGTATTTGTATTCAACACCCAGTGCATGCACGCAGTCTTCATCCCGAAAGTTGTTTGGTTGGTTTTTGGCCCAAGCTGTAAAGTTCCCGGTACCATCATCTATCCAAGTAAAGGAACCCTCTGTGAAAATGTCATTGAATCCCAGCCAGGACTTTTTTCCATTATGAAGATGCTGTAAAAATACATTTTCTTCGTTGTTTTGGACATCAACAAGAAACGCGTTTTCTTGTCGGCATTTATCCCGTGCGGTGGTCCAGTTTTGACAAGTCTTACTTGTTAAGTAGCAAAAGCCTTTGAAATAGGTCCAACCAGGCTCACAGATATCTGCAA